TTTTTTTTATTATCATCATTAACCACCATTTCTACTACAATATAAGCCAACATAGTGGTTGTTGTGGGGGTGGGGTGTACAATTCTTAACCTACGCACTCTTCCACCCTCTCTCTTCCTTCCACATCGTACAAGTAGAAAATGTCTGCTAATCAACCCGACAACTCGACCCGTATCCGGAAAAATCGGGGAGTTCATGTCATCACACGCTCCAATGGTGGGTCATACTCACATGCACGCATGTGATGTTAAATAAACTTTGAAATTTTGAATTATTTAGGGTTAATTTAGTCTTAATTTAAGATTAATTTAGGGTTTAGTAATAGGTGGATTGGGGTCATACTGAGGTTGGAGTGTTGGACACTTCTATATATGGTGGGTCCTATGTATGTACCCCACTTAGGTTACATGCAACCGTTGGATGTGCTAATGTTATAAATCATAGCCATGGATTTGATAGGCTTTTAGGGTTTTAATGACAAAAAGTTGTCAGCTTTTTTATTAAAGAAGTTTTGGAAAAAGTTGGCATAATATTCTTCTTGGGATTGGAGTAAAAAAAACCTTCTGCAATTCTTCTATAAATACTTGTTCTTTTCTCCTTCTCTTAAAACCAACAACTCTCTTGCTTGCTTCTTCTTCTTCCTTTCATGTTCTTATCATGATCTTTAAGGTTGATGGGATTCATAGATTTCAACATTTGGTATGTCTTCAAATGATCCTTTTTGTAATCTTCCACAGCTTTCTTGAACTGCATGGTAATCTATTTAGATAAAATTTTAAGCTTGTTCTTCAAGTACATGGTGGTATATTGATCGCCTTTGCGGTTCAATAAAGCTGTGGGAAACTACAGATAGAATCCGATTACTTTTTCTTAAAGAGTAAGGTCTTCTTAATTATCACTTTCAATTAGATCTAATGATAGATCCTTTGATGTTTATTTGATGTCTTTCACACTTATGCAATTCTATTTCTATACTAATTATTAGATATAGATCTGTTTCCTTATTACACAAGCTTCCATAATTTTTCTTTTACTAGTCAAGAAAATTTTGAATTTTGATATGAATGCTGGTAGTTCTGTTATTATGAAATGGGGTGCTTTTAGTTTGTGAAAGTTGTCGAAGAATCTATAAAAGATCAAATCTTTGTT